TGTGTGTGTGTGTGTGTGTGTGTGTGTGTGTGTGTGTGTGTGTGTGTATAAAAGTTTGATCTTCTCATTTTCATTAATATTGTATATTCTATAAATGTGATAGACTGAATGGATGTGATTTGGGAGAGGAAGACAGCATTATGCTTCTCATTCAATTGAAAATTCTGGGCATGTACATAAAACAATACAGAGATCTATCATTTTCATCAAAATTTGAGACAGATCTTATGTAGTCTCATACTTAACCTCCATAGCTAGTTTCTGAATGCCAGCATTTGAAGACAAAAAAATAAGATGTTTGCAAGGAATAAAATATAAATTATACTACGTAGGAGACATGCTTAGTAAACAAAAATAGAAAACATTCACATTGCCCATGTCACTTTTACACACCTGAATATGAGCCCGATCTAACTTCCATGGGTTATTAAGTAAGTTTCATATTAACAAATAAAACAAAGGAAAAAAACCCTCTTACTCAAGTATGCAAATGAAAATCAAAATGTACCTTTTTTTTTTTTTTTACTTCAGGCAACAGGCATTTTCACATCACCGATGTAGAAGATTCTCTTGGGTACCTAATTTAGTAAATATATTAAAATAAACAAAACATAATTAATAAAGAATTTTAAAACACTGTAAAATATGTCACTTTTACTGATATTGTACAGAGCGGAACTGTTCTGATTGGATGCTAATTTAATTTCAGAGAGTCTTCTGTATTATTTATTAACAGTATTCTAGCGCTGATGAACTTAATAGAACACTGTTTAAAATGAAACAATTTTTAAATAGCATGCCTGGCCTTTAGTCACATTAATAACAGGAGGATCTTAGTGACAGCACAATTATCTTAGTAAAACAAAAATACAATTTTTGTCTTGACAGTGAATATCAAACTACAATAGGTGAAAGCATTTAGTTTTCCTATAGTTTTCTTAAATAAAAATCTTTATTATTATTAGCTGTGCTAATGTAACTGGCAAAATAATTACCAATTTCTGTATATAGTTCATTATTTTCCAGACAGCAGTTTAATAACAAAACCAGAGCTGTCATTTCTCCCTACGGTTACTCACACTATACAAGTTCAGACTGTCAAAATATATTTAAAATCTAATTTTAAAAGATTCAACACAGTTACAATGAATCTTTGTACAATAAGTGAGATAAACCAGTGAGTCAATCTATGCTCTTTAAATATGGATATTTTGTTATGTTTGTTAAATCTAACTTTCTCCATTGGACTATATATACACTATGTATACATATATACAGCAAGTATTCTGCAGGAAGTATAGCTGCAGCTACATCAATGTATGGTCATATCATGACATGAACATAGCAAGAAAAAATTGCATACCTGATTTAAGATTGAAAAAAAAAAAGCAAGACTATCTATGGGTTTATTTGGCATTTTGATTGCAAAACAGCTCTACAGCTTTAAAAAAAAAATCAACTGGACAATTTGTGCCAACTAAATTATTATTCCACAATGTAAAGATCACTTTCAACATCAAACTGAATAGAGTGGCGTATTTAAATATTTTCAAGCATGCCACTTAAAACAATGTTTCCGTGTAGTGGGAAATTTTACATTAGATCATGTTTATTCAGAAATGTTTCAATCAAATCATGCACGTATACATATATAAATGCCCACATACATGTTCATAGCAAAGCAAGCCAGCTCCTTTTCAAGACAGCTCCTTTGCCTCCCTAACAATCTTGTTGATCCTGTCCGTTATTTTTGGAGAAAAGGGACAGTGTCGCCTTATATGTAATATTTGGTATCCTGGCCAGGATCTCTTAAAGCAGATGACTTTTTTAGACCTTTGGTGTAATTTTCCTCAAGATGACCTCTGCTCCCATGCCAACTGATGAATCCATCCTGTTATTAATGCATTTAGTTGGGAGGAATAGGTATTCAATTCTCACACCTGAAGACCATCCAAAAAAGTGTTGTGGTCAGCCTGCTCTATTATCTTTAGTCTTTGATGAGGCTATCCCTTATCTAGAACCACAATAGTTCAATCAATTCAAAGGAGAACTGAAACAGAGTGGACATGCCTCTCACAGGCACAGTGCATGGAATCATTTAACAGGTTTATTTGAAGATCAGGTATTAATAAAAAGAGATTCCAAGAAATGCAGCACTAAAACAGCCTGGAGAGGCTAAGCAGATTTATTAATTTAACACGGCTGATAACACTTCTTTTTCTTCTTCTTTTAATTTGACAAAGTTGGTACATGAGAGTTATCATTTAATAAATTTGCTCCTCTATAATGCGGTGTGTTAAAAAGGATTTTACAATAAAGGCTGCTGAAAGACTGTGCTCAGTTTAGAGACTGAATCTGGTGTGGCATGAATATACAATTTTAAGCAGATTTAATCTTATATTATTCCTGTCTCCAAAGTGACTCTGCAGTAGATCTCTTATCAAAAGTGAAGTCTGTTCATCCTACATTGCAAAACAGAAATGTATTGCACTCTGGCCTGGATTCTTATGTATTACAGTACTTTCATCAGTGAATTAGGAAGCAGTTTGGGGGTGAGGGGAAGGAAAGGAACTGGATCTTTTTTGTTTGTGTTACTTACCTTTCATCACTGCCAATGTTTCATTGCAAGGGCCTCAAATGTTTGAGAAAGCTGGGACTCTTTTTAGAGAACATCACAACTTTAGGAACTGATATCCACACACAAAACCCACTTTTTAAAGTTAGTTCCCAAGATCTTGTAAATTTCTATTTTTAAAAATCAGTGAAAGGGAAGGTTCTGGCTCCAGGTAGGATAATCAGCCTGTGTTAAAATGGGGCATTAAACTCTATCTCCGAGAGGGAGAAATTCAGCTGGATTTGGAAAACTGCTCTTCTCCCAACTGCAAATGATTTACAAAGCATGCAGCCTAAACCTCCCCCACCCACTTCTCCTCCAGCCACCAAGGCTCTGATCCCAAACCTAATTGAAAGACTCCCATTGACTTCAACGGGCTTTGGATCAAGTTTAAGTGAGCCCAGGTTATCAGACAGAAAAGGAAAAAGGGGCCGAATCCAAATAAAAGAACAGCCCAGCTGGCTCCAGGAACGTACCTAAGGGATGATCAGTCAGCGGAAGGCCGCCTGCATGACACACCGGCGCTAAGGTTTGGACGGATGGATGGATCCTTCAGGAATTGAATTTAGACAACACACAAAAGCAGCGGCCTCCCTCCCTCCCGCTGCAGTGCAGCCCCCGCCCTCCCCAGGGTGTAACACAGCCAGGCTGGGCCGCCCGAGAGCCCCCTTGGCAGTGGTTGGGAGGTGTGATCCGCCTGGCCTGTTTGCTGGCACAAACCCCTGCCTGGGTGAACGCCCAGACACAGAACCCCCTATTCATGGGGCAGCGCTGAGAGGTACCAGCCCCTGCGCCCCCCCGGCTCATGGTGGCCGTGGGGTGTCCCTGCCCCAGCGCTTCTGGTCTGGGGCGCCTCCTTTGCAGGCAGCCTCTTGGCTCCCCCCTGCCCATTTGCCTCCTAGGGGGGCACTTCGCGCTAACACCCCCGGCTTGGCCCGGGATCGTCCCCACAAAGTTCTGGGCAAAGCCCCGGCAGAATGGAGCCGCTTCCCCGCCGCTCCGGCTCTAAGCGGCTTACAGGGGCGAACACGTGCCGGGAACCGCAGCCGCTCTCGCCCCGTCCCTCAGGCGCTCGGGGAGGGTCGGAGCTAGCGGCCAGACCCCGGGCCCTTGCCCCTGCGCGGGGCCACCTGCTCCCCGCAGCGCGCCTGCCCCAGGGCAGGGCTAGAGGCTGCGGAGCGGCTCGGCCCGGCAGCCGGGGCTGGGCTGGTCCCAGCGCCGCGCCGCGGAGGGTCCGTGTTCCTGGGAGGGGACACAGGCTGCCCTCGGCGGAGCGAGGCGCGCGGGTCTGCGCCCTTTGGGCAGGGCACAGCGGGGGCTGGCAGACGCCGTCCGTGGGAACTCCCCCCATTTGAGTTCAGTGGGAGCAGGATCGGGCCCTTAATGGTCACGTTTCTGACGGGCCTGAGCCCTGACAGTGCCTGGGGGAAATACACAAATGCTGTTTCCTCCCTCAGCCCAGCGTCCCGAGGGAATGACCTCTCCTGCTATCCGGATCGGAAACGGAGACCCAGACCGGAACACATTTACACATCCGACCTCTCCACACGGGTTTACATTTACATAATAAAGTGGAGGGGAAAGGACCGAAACAGGAGACATACACTTAAAAACTACGTCTGAGACCACTCGGGTTATAATGGCCCTGCCCTTTGCTTCAGTACCCCCACATTGCAACCTCAGCCGTACTTGGGACAGTGTTTGGGATTTGTGGGTTCATGTCAACAGGATGCTATTTAATCGGATTCAGATCAGGTATTTCATTTCCAGAAACATTCCGAGTCATAACAAAACTATTGATACACATCAACCCGCAGGCAGATGGTTGCATTCAGGAACGCCCAATAGACGTTGGAAGCAAAGAGTTTATTCGGGAGAAATTTGGGGAGGGGTTATTTAAGTGGTAGAGATTTTCTTGGGGAGGGGGAGTTAATTATTTTTGTTTGGGGGGGGGGTTCCCTTTCTTTATTTTAAATAATCCAAGCCTGGATGTAAGAAGCCAAAAGGGAACAAAAATCTTTGCCATTCTGCAGCTGGCTAGGGTGTGACTGTAGATCCAAATTCTGGCGAACTCAAGCCTGGGAAATGAATGTGTATTGCTGGTCTGCCTGACACCACGGAGGCTTCAAGGACGCTTGTTTTACACTGAAAACGCAGGCGGAGAGGGAGGGTAACTGTTGGCCAGATCACACATTGAAATGGGGGTGTTGAGCCCCGTTACGCCTCCATCCACAGCCATTAACATTTTGTTTTAAAGGGGAAAAGCTGCTGAGAACACTTTTCGGGGCTGTACTTCTTTATAAATTAACAATTGAGAGGGCATCAGTGACACTTCATCCTCTCACCCCGCTGGAAACTTTAGACACTGCTTGATTTGTCTCTTGCTCTATGCCTGTGAAAACGAGACTTCTAGCAAACTTCTGCTCTGTCTTCCATTCCTTCCATGCAAGATGTTTGGTGGGTATGTATTTAAAAGGAAAACACGTCGAAGTATACAGTACTTAAAATCAAGCGCATATGCAGGCAGCGCAATCTTCATCAGTATAACTCACTGCTAAAATTGCAGGCCTAAAGTATTTCACTGCAGTGTAAGAAATTGCACCGTTTTAGAGTTGAGGACCAGAAATGTGGGCACAGCACGCTGGAAACTCTCAATTTTGGTGAGTAATCAGCGATAACAAGCTGCCCTCAAGCACACTGCCAAATTATAGATTCAGATCAAGGTGATGGTGACTAAGAGAGCAGGAGTTTAACTGATTAGCCAAGTATCAACACACGCATCTACCCCCGTGTGTTACTTAGCGCTCGCATCGATCGCTTTCATCTTGGAATATTTTGCATTGCCCTGGTCTTGAGTTCACAAATCTGAGTGCACTCACTCCCCAAAGAGTGGTAAGCTTTATTTTTGGTCCTCCTCCACCACCAATTCCAGTCTATACTGACTGTCCTACGGTAACAGATGCT